CAGTCCAATAGCTGAGCGGGACGTCACGGGCGGGTGACGTCATGACCAGGAAGCTATAAAAGCACGTGCGGTGGAGCCAGCGTCAGCTTTCTGTCATTCAACAAAGCGCTCTGTGTGTGTCAGTCAAAACTCTATGTTTGTGGGTCCTATTTATTGTTGTCTGTCAAAAAAGTCCAACTATAAGCTCCACTATGTCTAAAGCTCATGCTAAGACAAAGCATGCAAAGGGCGAGAGCAAGCCACGTTATAGATTGTGTGTTCCTCCCTGCCCACGCTACATCACGGGTGGGGATACACACAGAGTCGGCTCTTGAGGGGGCCGGCTGCCCGCATTGCGAGCGCCTCCCACTGCGTACGCTTCGCTCCCGGAGGGCTCTCTTTGAGGAGGGAGCCTTCGCCAGCGTGAAGAGGTTTCGCCCCCTCAATCGCCCCAGTATGAGGAGCTAGTGGAGGTGCTTACTCGCGCCGTGGCCAAATTAAAGATCGATTGGCCCGCCGAGAAGCAGGCCAAGCCACAGCGAAGCAAGTTAGATGAACGCTTCCTGCGCGCGAGGCCACCACCTCCATGCCGGAGCCTGCTATTTTTCCCCAACCTTCACACTGAGGTGTCGAGGTCGCGGGCCAGGCCTTTCTCGGCCCGTCTCTTCATCCCTGCCTCAGATTACAATGGGAATGTGGCGGGGTTGAGTGAGCGTGGCTATAGGGTGATGCTCCGGGTTGAACAGACGCTAGCTAGCTAGCTATCTGTCCCCAGGCACAGCATCGTCCTTAAATCCCCTGCAAACCGCTGCGTACGACATCAGCGCTGGTGGGCAAGGAGTACGCGGCAGCAGGTCAGGCCGGTGCGTGTCTGCACACAATGTCTGTCAACAGGCAGGCCTGCTTAAAGAGCTACATGAGGGCTAGGAGCTTAACTCTGATAACATCGCAGAGTTAAGGTGAACCGCTGATCTCTCTCTCCGCGCGACCAAGGAGACCGCCCGCGCCATTGGGCAGTCCATGGCAGCTATGGTGGCAGCAGAGAGGCATTTGTGGTTGACCCTGTCTGATATGAAAGAGAAAGACAGGGTCTTCCTCCTCGATGCCCCACTTGCACCTTCTGGCCTGTTCGGCAATGCCGTCAATTCCGTCGTCGACAGGTACCAGGAGACTCGTAAACAGGCGGCGGCATTTCAGCGGTTCCTCCCTCTCCGCATCTCAGCTCTGGGGGATGCTGGGCGGGAGCAGTCCCCTTCACGTACCAGCTCCTCATATAGGGAGGCTCAGAAACAGGGGTCGGGGGCGTCGAAGCCTAAGCCGGATCTGCGGACCGTCCTTCAGGCTAATGCCTCATGGACGCCTCGCTTGCGTCCTTCTGACCTGTTCGGCGACGCCGTCAATTCCGTCGTCGATAGGTACCAGGAGGCTCATAAACAGGCGGCGGCATTCCAGCAGTTCCTCCCTCGCCGCTCTCTAGCTCTGGGCAGCCCCCCCAGTGCCCTCAGGAGATCGTTCTGCCAACCCTGCCGGTGTTCCAGGGTGCAGCGGTCTCCAGCGAGCGTTTCTTTCAGTTACCGCCCGGCAATGTAGCGGTGCTGAGAGGCTCGCAACCTCTGCGGAGGCCCCCAGAGCAGCTAGTTCGGCCGTTCCCTGCCAGTGCGCCGCTTCAGGGCACCGCTTCAGGGCCACTAGCTGCTCTGGGCACACCAGAGATCAGTCTTGAGAGACTGATTCCCTTAGTAGATTATTTAGCAGCGTGGAAGCTACTTCCAAATGTGTCTCAATGGGGCCTGCGTTCTGTAGAAAGAGGCTACAGAATCCAGTTCGGTTCTCATCCGCCTCGATTTAACGGGGTCACCCACACTCTAGTGGTAGAAGTAGTTACTCTCTTAAAGAAGGAGGCCATCAAGGTGGTCCCTCTGCACGAGACAGACTCCGGGTTCTACAGCCGGTACTTCATTGTTCCGAAGAAGGATGGGGGGTTGCGTCCTATCTTAGATCTGCGTCAATTGAACCGCTTCAATGAAGTTCAGAATGCTCACACTCAAACAAGTTGTGTCTCAGATCAGGTACGAGGACTGGTTTGTCACGAAAGAATGGTTTGTCACGATCGATCTAAAGGACGCATACTTCCATGTATCCATCCTTCCCACTCACAGGAAGTTCCTGAGGTTTGCTTTCGGGGGCAAAGAGTACCAATATCGTGTTCTTCCTTTCAGCCTTGCACTCTCACCCCGCACTTTCACGAAGTGTGTGGATGCTGCTCTGGCTCCATTGCGACTCCACGGCATCCACATACTCAACTACATCGACGATTGTTTGATATTAGCTCATTCAGAGCAGGTAGCAGTTCAACATCGAGATATCGTTCTCGCTCACATGAGAGAGTTGGGGTTAAGACTAAACGCCATGAAGAGTGTGCTTTCTCCATTACAGAGGACCACCTATCTGGGCGTGGTCTGGGATTCGACCACAATGCAGGCATGTTTGTCCCCTGATCGGATCGAGTCGATCCTCACTGCAGTCAAGAGAGTGAAAGAAGGCCAGTCACTCACTGTCAAGCAGTTTCAAAAACTGCTGGGTCTGATGGCAGCTGCGTCCAACGTGATACCTTTTGGCCTGCTGTACATGTATCGAGTCGATCCTCACCGCAGTCGCGAGAGTCAGAGAAGGCCGGTCACTCACTGTCAAGCAGTTCCAGACTGCTGGGTCTGATGGCAGCCGCGTCCAACGTGGTTACTTTTGGTCTGCTGTACATGAGACCCCTACAGTGGTGGCTTAAGACCAAGGGGTTCTCCCCGAGGGGAAACCTGCTTCGCATGCTCAAGGTCACGCGCAGATGCCTACGTGCCTTAGACATGTGGAGGAAACCTTGGTACTTGTCTCAGGGCCCGGTGCTGGGAGCTCCTTGTAGCCGCGTAACGCTAGCGACGGACGCGTTCCTCACCGGTTGGGGATCGGTCATGTGTGGCCACCCTGCCCGTGGTCTGTGGAGTGGTCGCCATCTCACGTGGCACATCAACTGCCTGGAGATGCTGGCCGTGCTGCATGCACTAAGATACTTCCTCCCAGACCTGAGAGGTCACCATGTGTTGGTGCGCCCCGACAACACAGCGGTGGTCTCTTACATCAACCACCAGGGAGGTCTGCGTTCGTGCCCCTTGTACAAGCTGGTGCACCAGATCCTTGTGTGGTCCAGGGGAAGCTCCTCTCGCTGAGAGCAGTTCACATTCCTGGGCATCTCAATAGGGGAGCAGACATCCTGTCGAGGCAGGGGCTGAGGCCCGGGGAATGGATGCTTCACCCCGAGGTGGTGAAGCAGATTTGGAGAGTCTTTGGCCAGGCCCAAGTGGACCTGTTCGCGACTCATACGACATCGCACTGTCCCCTCTGGTTCTCTCT